TAGCAGAAGTTGGGATCCCACAACCCACTACTGGATATATTCTGTAGCTCACAAAACCTTATGTTCAAATAAATTTGTTAGTCTCTAAGGTGCCACAAGTACTCCTTTTCTTTTTGCGAATACAGACTAACACGGCTGCTACTCTGGATATATTCTGTTCTACTTCAGCCACCCTGCAGTTGTAATATGAGAATGAAGGCTGCAATCTAAAAGGAGAGCTATGTTTGTCCAAAAAGAAGGAAAAAGAGCTAAGGCTCTGTAATACTGATTGTTGCAATGCCTAAATTTAGGCACCCTGCCATCCAGTGGAATTCACAGTCCAAGGTTAGGTGCCCTGGTTCCCTATACAATGCATGGGGACAATTAAGCACCTAAGAATGGGATGTGCAAAAGGCAGCACAATGAACATAGAACCTGCATAAACTAGCCACAAGGAAATGCTGAGAAGGCTTAAGCCCCACATCTCAAAGTGACATAGGTGCCTAAATACAGAGCAGTGGGAAGTGCTTGTCTGCACTTGGGATTCACAGCCATGAATGCTCTCCTGGAGTTAGCCACCTAGGCCAGGTTAGTCCTTTTTCAAGGAGTAATATGATAGTGATTGTTGGTCCTGCCTTGTAACTTTTAGGATAGTTGTTTAGGGATCTCACTTAGCATATGGGAGATTCCTGATCAATTTCCCACTCTGCTTGAGGCAGCAAAAGGATTTTAAGTTGGTTCTCCTACTTCTCAAGAGGATGCTCTAAGCCCTGAGCTATGGGACATTGCAGGGTAGGGATCTCTCCATCTCTCCCCTTTAAAGCTGTTATACTTTGTATAAATAATTAGTTACTGGAATAAGGACTTGAACTTGGTTTCCCATGTAGGTGCTCTAATCCCTGGGCTGTAGAGTAACGTGATCTTTCTTAGGTCCAATGATGAGTCAGCGTTTCATATGAAGTGGAACAGCTTCAACAGGGCCATATCAGAATATTCTATAGTGTAGTCACTAGGATATTCCCCTAGAAGGTTGAAGGCCCACATTCAAATCCCTTCTCCACATTATGTAGTGGGGGGAATTGAACCTGGGTTTTCCACTTCATAAGTGTGTACACTAACCCTGGGCCAAAAATGACAAGGGGCCCACCTTTTCCTCTATTGGCAGTAGCTTTTCTATGGATTTAAGTGTGCTCAGAGCTTGCCTCTCATATCAGAACCAAAAGGCAAGATGGTGGGGGGGTGGGGAAATCCCTCGTTTGTGAATATCTCTGAATCTTGGGCATGAGTTAGGTGCAAAGCTGTTAGGCAATGTCAGGACTGAGGTGGCTGTATTGGGTGCCCAGCTGCTGAAGTTTAGGCACCTCAAGGACTTTTAGGCAAATAAGTTTCTGCCAAGGTTAGGTTAGGTTTAGTAAATGCCAGTGGTGCCTAAATGTTGGGCTATTGAATCTAGCCCAAAGTAGTGAAAAATCAGAAGTGATTTCTCTCACACTATTATAAATCTGGAGGAAGGGAGTCAGTTGTGTAAATCTGACTCACAGAAGTAAATTCTGTTACTCAAAGTATATTATTATATTTGTATTGGCAGATTCTTCTTATTCGTCCAATTTAAAAAAAATGAGAGAGAGAGAGAGAGAGAAAAAAGATTACCCCTGTGCATGTGAAAGCACACCTGCACCCACTTCTTTTATTGGCAATACAAAAATGCTGTATAGATGGCCAAATTGTGGCCCACACAGCTGTAAAAGGGAATAAAGTTGCCTGCGCTATTGTGCATGGCTGTGTTAGCACATTCCTATGTCTTGGTGGATCCTGCAAGAGGAGGAAGGGATATTCAGCTGATACTTCCCCCCGAGTAGGTGGCTAGGTAGAGGAGAGGGTGGATAGTGCCACGACTCCCTCCCCTCCCACTCTCATTGCACTGGCCGCTGAAGGAAAGTATGTTTTTCAGACCTAACTCAGTCAACTATCAGCTGCCATCAGTTGATTTTCATATTTCAGTTCTGGATTTCCATCAATTACTGTGATTTTTTTCAAAATAACTCCTTAAATGTAAATGTATATTTTAAAACAGAACCCACTTAATTGGCATCCTGATTAATTGGATGCCTTATGTATAGGGATAATTGAATAAATGTTGCCTGGCAATCAATGCATTGCAATGATTTTATACAATATAGTAATGGCACAACTAGTTGAATCCATTGAAATGGCATGGTTAGGGTTATCTACAAACTTCTTCACAAATGTTAATGTGTGTTTGTAGCTGCTAGCATACAGTGAAAAATAGACTTTCTCCCTTCCTTCAATATTAACTGTTTCCCTGTTTAATTTTGGAGACTCCATGTTATATTGGCATTTCTTTTAAACATGATAATGCTTTGAAAGATGCTAACACAGTAGAACCTCATAGTTCAGAAAGGGAGGTTGTTCATAACTCTGAAATGTTTGTAACTCTGAACAAAACATTATTGTTCTTTCAAAAGTTTACAACTGAACATTGACTTAATACAGCTTTGAAACTTTACTCTGCAGAAGAAAAATGCTGCTTTCCCTTTTTTTATTAGTTTATGTTTAAACACAGTACTGTACAGTATTTTCTGGGGGGTTTTTTTGTCTCTGCTGCTGCCTGATTGCATAATTCCAATTCCAAATGAGGTGTGTGGTTGACTGATCAGTTCGTAACTCTGGGGTTCTACTGTAATTATAAAACCACTTAACACTGACACTCAACTTTTTAAAAGAGCCTAAGAACATAAGAGTGGCCATAGTGGGTGAGATCAAAGGTCTATCTAGACCAGTATCCTGTCTTCTGACAGTGGCCAGTACCAGGTGCCCCAGAGGGAATGAACAGAACAGATAATCATCAAGTGATCCATCACCTGTCACCCATTCCTAGTTTCTAGCAAACAGAGGCTAGGACACCATCCCAGCCCATCCTGGCTTATAGCCATTGATGAACCTATCCTTCATAAACTTATCTAGTTCTTTTTTGAACCCTGTTATAGTCTTGGCCTTCACAACATCCTCTGGCAAGGAGTTCCACAGATTGACTGTGCATTGTGTGAAAAAATACTTCCTTTTATTTGTTTTAAGCCTGAAGCCTATTAATTTCATTTGCTGTCCCTAGTTCTTGTGTTATGAGAAGGAGTAAATAACACTTCCTTATTTACTTTCTCCACACCAGTTAGCATTTTATCATACCCCCCGTTAGTCATCTTTTTTCCAAGCTGAAAAGTCCCTGTCTTATTAATTGCTCCTCATATAGAAGCCATTCCGTACCTCTAATTATTTTGTTGCCCTTTCTGAACCTTTTCCAATTCCAATATAGCTTTTCTGAGATAGGGCGACCACATCTGCACACAGTATTCAAGATGTGGGCATACCATGGATTTATATAGAGGCAAAATGATATTTTCTGTCTTATTATATATCCCTTTGTTAATGATTCCCAACGTTCTGTTCGCTTTTTTGACTGCTGCTGCACATTGAGTGGATGTGTTCAGAGAACTATCCACAAAGACACCAAGATGTCTTTCCTGAGTGGTAACAACTAATTTAGACCTGTGACAGGGTGCTAAGCCGAAAACTGCTTAGCCAACCCTCTGTCACTCCAGCTCCAATTAAGGGAGGTGAATTGGAGCTGGGTAGATCACCTGGCCCTGACTGGGAAAGCTGAAACAGCTGCTGCCTCATCCAGCTGGGGCTGGATAAAAGCCCCAGGGGAAGGAAGCCGGGGGAGGAGCTGAACAGGCTGTAAGCTGCACTAGAGGAAAGGCAGTGAGAGGAAGCAGAGAGAGATAGCTTGCCCCCTCTCTCCTGCTGGTGGACTGTAAGAAGGGGACTATATGTATGGTGGAAAGGGGGTGGGAACACAACCTGTAAATAAAAGCACCAGGTGAGAACTGCACCAAGGTCTCTGGGTGACTTTCTCAGCCCAGCGGGGGCACGAGCCAGGAGGCAGTGAACCGCGGCCAGTGGGAGCTGCGATTGGCTGAACCTGCAGACGTGGCAGGTAAACAAACCATCCCAGCCCACTGGTGGATTTCCTTGATGGGCCATGTGCCAAAGGTTGTCGATACCTGCCTTAGAAACACCTGCTCAGTGTTAAGTGTTACACTGGTGGTAAGATTCAAACTTATTTTGATCCCCAGTGGCAGTGTGTTTCATAGTAGAAACACAGTCTTATATCTCTGCTCCCACTCATATGCTGTGACACTTTCAATCAGGCACACAACAGGGTAGGGACAGTCACATTTATCTGGGAGCTTAGGTGTTTCTTCAGACACTGCTCGCACACTGCCTTCTTGCAGCAGGAGAAGGGCTTGAATGGGTTCCTCCTCCAGAAACGCCCAGCACCAAACAGGGGCCTGAAGTCCCCCGCTCTCTCTCAGAGAAGGCCTCAGGCAACATGTAATATCCACCTTGATGCTGCCCCAGAGGACAAGGGGTCTCCAGTCAGGGACTTTTTTTGTATGTGTTCTGATACTATTTTATTAAATGCTGAACACCAATTCTCTTTAAAACCCAATTCACAGTCCATTGATGATTTCACTGTGATCAGGGACTTAGCGGGCAGGCAGAATGCCTGTCTTCACCTATCCCACTGGGGCTTAGATCTGAGATAGTCAGGTACCAAAAGTGTGGTACCATGCACATGCCCAGAGGCAGAAACCTAGGAATATCAGATGCCTACAAAGTTAGGTAGTGGTTGAGCGAAAGTTTTAAGAATCTCAATAATACCTATATTTGTACTTAGGTGCCTAAAGTGGGGAATTGAGTGGAAAAACCTGTCACTGGTCCTGTATTGAAGATTATTGGTTCTGGGATTCAGTCCAGTGCAGGTTTCAGAGTAGCAGCTGTGTTAGTCTGTATCTGCAAAAAGAACAGGAGTACTTGTGGCACCTTAGAGACTAACAAATTTATTTGAGCATAAGCTTTCGTGAGCTACAGCTTTGTGGAAGAGGAAAACCCACATTTGATGGGGGGAAAAAAAACAAATATTAGCTATTTTTTTAACATTGACTTCTGCTTCAAAGTGTTCTGAGGTTTACTGGACTTCTGGGGGGACAGATTACATGGCAAGGTGGAGGTAGGATGGTCAAAACAATTTGCTATTGCTTTGCAATTTACCCAATGGGTATCACCACCACACAGACATAAACACAGACTAATAATAAGTCTGATCTTTATGTTAGCTTCTATCTTATCTCTGTGCAATGCACACAGAACTGGCCACAATACAAAACTTGGTCTCCAATCTAGTTTTGAATTTAATTTTCTTCAATTTTATAGTTTTTGAATGGCAATTAATTCCATATTTTCTTAGTTTAATTGCAAAAGTAATGTGAATAATTTCAGTGGTTTAAATGAAGAAGATAGATGTGGTTACTCAACCCCCCAGGAATGGTGATGCTGCCTTCGAAAGTCTCCAGCACTGCAATTCAAGAGAGCAGTCTTTTACATTTGATTTTTAGATCATTATCCAAGTACAGTAATAACCATGTCTTAAACATTGATCAGATGTTAATGTTTTTGGTTTAATGTAAGGAATTACTGACACAGACTAAAACATTGATACCTCCAAAATGCTTCATGGCAGATACATAGCTGGGAAAACACTTGGCTCTAGTGGCTTTCTCTTAAAAGTTGGACATTTGAGGAGGGCAATTTCCCCTTTGATAAGAAGAATATACAGTAGCAGATCTAACTAGTTTGCATGTAACTGAAAGGAAGTATAAATGATTTATTTCTGTCCATTTAGAAATGGTATGGCTAGCACATTTCAGCAGTAAAAATGTCTAACTAAAGGCTGTCAGCTTTAGGAACCATGTCTTATTCAGGTAGCATCTTTCTTTCCCAACCCAACCAACATTTTAGGAGGCGGGGGGGAGACATGGACCTCCTCATCACACCCCAACCAGTTCCCAAATTCCCCTACATACAAATTTGTATTCAAAAAGATCTAGATCTTTTCTCTGTGTATTCTGACCTTCCCTGATGTGCAAAAGAACATACTTTCCTCCTCCTCCTATGTCCCATGCTTAGTTGCCATGTTCACACACAAGGAAATTAGTGAACAATGGTTTTCTTTACTGGCTGTTCTGATGGACTCAGGCTAGCCTGAATACTGTCACTTAAGAAGGATGCAGGTAGACAAACAATATTTTTTCCCCCTTCAGATTTCAAGAAAAATCACTAGTTTTTAGTTTCAATTAAATTCACAAAATATGTTCCTTGATAACTCATGGGTTTTGGGTTTTTGTTTTTTTTTTTGTATTCTTGAAGGTAAAGTCACGCAAACTGAAAAATAACTTTTTTAAAAAAAATCTGTACTCATAGCTTTGGTTTAAAAACAAACCTTTCCAGTATACAAAAAATATTTAAATAATGTAATAGAACAGTAATAATTTGTCAAACTCTTTTATATTAAATAAGAATTTCTCAGTATAACTGTTTTACTTTACCGCTCTAGGGTTCTGCTCCTGGCTCTTCAGGTGGCCTGTTGGGTAACCTTGGGTAGGTCATTGCACCTTTCTGACTCAGTTTCCCCATTTGTAAACTAGTGACAGTGGTACCTACCTTGATTATAAAGCACTTAAAGTTCTGCAGATGAAAAGGGCTGTATAAAAGCTAGTTGTTGTTTATTTATTTCATTAATTATGTTTAGACTAGTCTATGTAAAGATAGCAAATAGAATCATAGAATATCAGGGTTGGAAGTGACCTCAGGAGGTCATCTAGTCCAACCCCCTGCTCAAAGCAGGACCAGTCCCCAACTAAATCATCCCAGCCAGGGCTTTGTCAAGCCTGACCTTGAAAACCTCTGAGGAAGGAGATTCCACCACCTCCCTAGGTAATCCATTCCAGTACTTCACCACCCTCCTATTGAAAAAGTTTTTCCTAACATCCAACCTAAACCTTCCCCACTGTAACTTGAGATCACTGCTTCTTGTTCTGTTATCTGCCACCACTGAGAACAGCCTCGCTCCATCCTCTTTGGAACCCCCCTTCAGGTAGTTGAAAGCAGCTATCAAATCCCCCCTCATTCTTGTCTTCTGCAGACTAAATATCCCAGTTCCCTCAGCCTCTCCTCATAAATTATGTGTTCCAGACCCCTAAACATTTTTGTTGCCCTCCGCTGGACTCTTTCCAATTTTTCCACATCCTTCTTGTAGTGTGGGGCCCAAAACTGGACACAGTATGCCAGATGAGGCCTCACCAATGTCAAATAGAGGGGAATGATCACATCCCTCGATCTGCTGACAATGCCCCTACTTATACATCCCAAAATGCCATTGGCCTTCTTGGCAACAAGGGCACACTGTTGACTCATATCCAGCTTCTCGTCCACTATAACCCCTAGGTCCTTTTCTGCAGAACTGCTGCCGAGCCATTCGGTCCCTAGTCTGTAGCAGTGCATCTGATTCTTCCGTCCTAAGTGCAGGACTCTGCACTTGTCCTTGTTGAACCTCATCAGATTTCTTTGGCCCAATCCTTCAATTTGTGTAGGTCACTCTGGACACTATCCCTACGCTCAAGCTTATCTACCTCTCCCCGCAGCATAGTGTCATTCGCAAACTTGCTGAGGGTGCAATCCATCCCATCATCCAGATCATTAGTAAAGATGTTCAACAAAACTGGCCCCAGGACCGACCCTTGGGGCACTTGATACCGGCTGCCAACTAGACATGGAGCCATTGATCACTACCCGTTGAGCCTGATGATTTAGCCAGCTTTCTATCCACCATATAGCCCATTCATTCAGCCCAAACTTCTTTAACTTGTTGGCAAGAATACTGTGGGAGACCATATCAAAAGCTTTGCTAAAGTCAAGGAATAACACATCCACTGCTTTCTCCTTATCCTCAGAGCCAGTTATGTCATCATAGAAGGCAATTAGATTAGTCAGGCATGACCTGCCCTTGGTGAATCCATGCTGACTGCTCCTGATCACTTTCCTTTCCTCTAAGTGCCTCAGAATTGATTCCTTGAGATTGATTCCTTGCCTGTAGTTCTCCAGATCCTTCTTCTTCCCTTTTTTAAAGGTGGGCATTACATTACCCTTTTTGCAGTCTTCCGGGACCTCCCCCGATCGCCATAAGTTTTCAAAGATAATGGCCAATGGTTCTGCAATCACATCTGCCAACTCCCCTAGCACCGTCGGATGCAGTGCATCTGGTCCCATGGACTTGTGCTCATCCAGCTTTTCAAAATAGTCCTTAACCACTTCTTTCTCCACAGAGGGCCGGTCACCTCCTACCCATGCTGTGCTGCCCAGTGCAGCAGTCTGGGAGCTGACCTTGTTCGTGAAGACATCATGAAGACACATCTTCTGCTTTCACCAGCTACTGATTGTCCTATATACAAGACTGTACGAACTAAGCTTGTTTCTGAAACTAAATGCATGGATAACCGATAGTGCATAAAGAAAGCAGTCTGAAAATATAAAGAAAAAATATTGACATAGTAGAAATGTAGCAACATAGAGTTATCGATGCTAGATTAGACCATATGATCCAGTATTTTTCTAGCTGTGGCAAGCACCTGATGCTTCAAAGCTAGAACCTATATTGTTATATTTTTGCTCTCATTGTATTATAACTTACACCATGAGTAGTCTCATTTAAGATGATGGGACTGCTTGTGCTGTAGGGTATTACTCAATGTGAGTAAGGGTATCATAATCTGGCACCAGATGATTGTACCTCATAACCTTGTAATGCATCTAGCCATTGTGCAATGCTGTTTGGGGGAAGCACTGGACATTTTCCCCTCAACTAACTTTATCCTAGGAAGAATAACTCTCTTCACTATAGGAATTACAAGGTGAAATTCTATGGCCTGTGTTATACTGGGAGTCAGTCTAGGTCATCACAATGGTCCCTTTTGGCTTTCAAATCTGAGTGAGCTTTTGCAATATACCATTGCACCCAATTAATTCTCCCTTACCCAAATAAATAATAGTCTTTAGTCAATGATGCCTTTTTGTTCACCTTGGACACTTCTATCCTTTGTTACTCATAACTGAACATCAACTAGAACTAAGTAGATTTTCTTGATTAGTCTGTTCTGAACTGCTTGAATGGGTTGGAAAATATAAGAAGTTAAAATTCAACATATGGTACCAAAGGAAGGAAAGTAACATGAACAGTGAATTCCCACCATACAAAATCTCATTTAGCTGAAAAGTAAATAGCAAAGGGAGATAAGGAATAAAAAACAATGCTGAATACTTAATAGATGTAAATCCATACTATAGCGCAAACAGACTGAACAAAATAATTATTTTATGTGAGAAAAGCCATTTAATTATATTTTTGAAATGTTTGTTTGTTTAAAACTAACACAAGAGAATAAGCCATAAGCAAAAAACAAAAAACAGACAAAAAACTTATGAAATGTGTCACAGCCACTGGGCTTACTGCATCTCTGACCCTTCCTGGTCTTTCCACATGCACACCCCCCACATTCAAGTTCATACCGTCACCTCTCTGAGGTGGAATCACGCAATTCTCCCACTGTCAGAGTGGGCCCTGCTCTGCAGTCCCCCGTGTGGTCAGCCACAATTACCTCAGCAGGCCTGCCTTAGGTTCAGTATCTCCAGTTCACTTCACTGCAGGAGCTGAGACAGTGGTATCCAGTAACCAAACTGATTTCTTAAAGCAAAGTGTTATTAATTTAGAACTAAAGCTTTTCAGAGAAAGCTGGCCTTAAAACAAATAAACAGTCTAGACATGTCTGTACATATCTATCCATCTTCAACATGAGGATCCTGGAAGATGTAAGCTTCCTATGGACCTCCCAACACCTTTAGGGTCTCACTGGCATTTTCTGTTCCCTTAACTCACAAATCATGTCTCCCAACCTGCTTCAGGGAAAGTCTCTTGTAAAAGCCGTTCAGTCTTTTTTGATCACTCTGGTCCTCAGGGATTGTGACTTCTTAACTGTTGATAGCGAAGGTCTCATCACTAGCAATAAAAGCGTGCAACTTTTTGGAGATGGGATGTAAGATTCTCGAAGATAAGAGCTTCTTCCGTTGCCTAACAGTATGTGTTAAGATGTTCTTAGCTGGGAAACCATCCCATTGCCTTCCTGTTTGTTCTTCCAATAGCACCCATTACAAGGGTGCTGAGCACTTGCAGACTTCTGCTAGAGTTGTCAATGCTCTGAACTTCTGAAAATTGAATTAAAGCGATAGAGGTGTATAATACATTGAATTAAAGCAATAGAGGTGTATAATACACATTCCACTACCCCAATATAAGTTATACAGACTATCGCAATAACTGGGTTACATATCCGTATCCTTATAGCAGTTCACATCCACCACAATAAGTATTTTAATTGAAAAAATATTTCACTTGACAAAATCAGTTTTCTAAAATACGTAAGAGGATAACAGATTGAAGATTATCATCAATGAGAAGGAAAAATACTTCTAGAAGTTTACAAATCAGCCATTTACAGGTAAATTCCAGAAAGTTTAGAGATATACTGGTTATATATATGATGGTTCAAGTCTTCCAAGTCACTGGTATCAGTTTGATCCTCTGCATAAGTATTAGTTATTGCCTTTTCTGTAGGAAGTTGAAATGCTAGCCTTAGGGAAGATAACGAAAAGCTTTTCATTAACTGATAATTTCCAAGCAATCTCCTTATGAAAATAAAACCTAAAAAGGAACTTTTATACCAGTAGAAAGGTGGATGTAAAGGATAGCTGTGGGGGATGGGAGGTGCTATGGGTCCTTAATATCTATGTTTAGCCACAAGTTAATTGACTGAATGCAATATATAAACTATACTATCCCAAATGCAGCAGGTATCTTTGGTTAAATAACAATAAACACATGCTACAATCAAACAGTTCTATTCACTTATATATGTAGTGTAGGTGTATCAAGTTTCCTTCCCCACTCTGAACTCTAGGGTACAGATATGGGGACCTGCATGAAAACCTCCTAAGCTTATTTTTTACCAGCTTAGGTTAAAACTTCCCCAAGGTACAAACTATTTTACCTTTTGCCCTTGGACTTTCACTGCCACCACCAAACGTCTAACACCGGTTACTGGGAACGAGTCCATGTGGAAACATCTTTCCCCCCAAAATCCTCCCAAATCTTACACCCCCTTTCCTGGGGAAGGTTTGATAAAAATCCTCACCAATTTGCATAGGTAACCATAGACCCAAACCCTTGGATCTTAAGAACAATGAAAAAACATTCAGTTTCTTAAAAGAAGAATTTTAATAGAAAAAAAAAGTAAAAAGAATCACCTCTGTAAAATCAGGATGGTAAATAACTTACAGGGTAATTAGATTCAAAACATAGAGAATCCCTCTAGGCAAAACCTTAAGTTACAAAAAGACACAAAAACAGGAATATCCATTCCATTCAGCACAGCTTATTCTCTCAGTCATTTAAAGAAATCAGAATCTAATGCATATCTAACTAGATTACTTACTAAATTCTAAGACTCCATTCCTGTTCTGTCCCTGGCAAAAGCATCACACAGACACAGAGAGAGGATTTTTTTCTCCCTCCCCCCAGCTTTTGAAAGTATCTTGTCTCCTCATTGGTCATTTTGGTCAGGTGCCAGCGAGGGTATCCTAGCTTCTTAACCCTTTACAGGTGAAAGGGTTTTTCCTCTGGCCAGGAGGGATTTTAAAGGTGTTTACCCTTCCCTTTATATTTATGACAAAGTGACACCACATATCCCTGGTCACCACACAGTTAGGACACAGTTTCAGTTCACAGTGGTAGATTGGCAGCAGAAGCTTTTCTGCCTGATAGTGCAACATGGGAGGTGTGGGCAGCCAGTCTGTTTCTCTGAAAATCTTTCTCTAATTATGGGGTATCAGGCCTCCATATTAGTCCCCTAAAAGACTGAGCTGGTGAGAGAGATCACCATCCAAAGACACCAGAGGATGTTTACAAGGCTGGCTATCTTTTCTAATGAAAATAACTCAATGTAATTTGTGAGAGGAGCCTCATCATTGTAATTGCTGTAAGCAGGAGTCAGATGGGAACGGATGAGTGAAAATTTGGCAGCCTGAACATTATTAGTAATATTCAGCTGGCCAAACAGCACTGCTGATTATGTCCTTCTGCAAATGTATTTCACAGTTCACCAACCTTTGCTAAGAGAAATGGAGATATATTATCCTCAGGGTTGAATTCTCCTATACAGAGCTTAGTGCAGTGACTGGAGAGCTGACAGGGAGCGGAGCATGTCTCCCTAGTTTTGCTCTGCCCTGGCCCAGTGCATAGTACAGCTGCAGGGAGCAGTGGGGTGGCAGAGGAGACATGGAGGAGCAGGTGTGGAGGGTGGCATGGCCTCCTCCACCTGCTTTCCACTGGTTGGAGATTCCCCCAATACTGGGGGAATTCTCTGGCCAATTTAAGTTTTGCAGCAGGAGGCAGACTCAGCAGAGCTGAGAATATAGCCCCATATCGGCCTTATTCACAGGGGTTCTGAGCCAACTTGCAGACTTCTGCTAGAGTTGTGAATGCTCTGAACTTCTGAAAATCAGGCTTGATCAAGTGCAAGTCTCAGTCTTCAAAGAGCTCTCAAATTTGATTTATCGCTAGCAGTGTCAGATTATGAAGGAAATCCTCAACCCATTGAAGTTGGTGGTAAAACTCCCATTGAATTCAGTGACTTTGGGATTTCATAGCTTGTATGTACATTTTAGCTCTGAGAAAATAACCAAATTGTGCTACCAGATGCAGTTCAGAAAAATCTGTGTCCAGAACTATCTGTATGGGGGGTCTAATTCTCTGGAAATTCCTAGTAATATTCATTCAACATTTTTGAGAGGTATTCAGGCCCAAGTCTTTTCTCAAAGTATCTTTGCAGCCATTTTTTGGACGTTGAAATAGGTTTTGGAACTGCTGAATTTACACAATGATGACAGAGGATCACTCACAATGCATCTTTGGTGAATACATTTTCTCTCAGGTAGTCTTTACAGCATCTTCTAAAAAGCATATATTTCCATAGTTCTGATGCAGAGAGACCAAACCTCTGCTGTTGCTTAGTGAAGAATTTATTTTCACCATTTTTCACGTGTTATGGAGACTGTACAAACCAAAGGCACCGCCATTGGCGCCAAAACAATGCATATTTTCCTATACAGAGTATTGACTTTAGCGTCTCCTAGAATGTGATTGACTTCATGATTTTGGCTTTTAATAACCATATAGCTCTACAGGTGTGGGTCATAGGATTGGTTTATTTTTCTCTTTGCGGCCTGGTTCCAGATTGTTCTGAGAGGTTTTAGTTTCAATCATAAAGACTACTTCAGATGACTTTTCAGCTACCGTTGAGGAAGATATTCACTATGATTTCATGAGAATGTTTTGGTTTTATACTCTAATGACACAAAACTAGGTGGTAAGGTACAATTGGTGTCATTTTGTTCATCTGTTTGTTCTGAGAGTGTGTTTGATAACCAGGAACTCAAAGTGAAACTTGGAGGGGCAAACCCACATGACTTGGAACATAAAAGAAGTGTTTTTTAAAGCCATTTGAAGCAAAACTGCCCACTCTTTCACATCTCAGAACAAACCTCACTTGATGCCACAAAGTAAAGTCATTGATTAGATGATGCCATACGAGATGAGATCTTGGCATATCTTCAGTATTATTTTAGGCTTCTTCCTATCTCAGAGAAAGCTTGTGAATCAGTCTTATAATATTAATTGTATAGTAGTCTAGACATTTCAAAGTCAGCATAATAATTTCATAGCATGTTCTTGCAGTCTAGTAATTACTTAACATAGCATTTATATATTTAATAGAGTCAATATACCCCTGCAATATCATTACAGATAACATTATCTGAATTTTTAGGTAGTTACATCTTGAGAGAAATGTTACTTTCTGATGCAGTTCTTTTTTAGAATCTTTGCATATTACCAATAAAAAGTTTGTTCTGCTTCAAAAAGAAAAGGAGTACTTGTGGCACCTTAGAGACTAACAAATTTATTTGAGCATAAGCTTTCGTGAGCTACAGCTCACTTGTGAGCTGTAGCTCACGAAAGCTTATGCTCAAATAAATTTGTTAGTCTCTAAGGTGCCACAAGTACTCCTTTTCTTTTTGCGGATACAGACTAACATGGCTGCTACTCTGAAACCTGTTCTGCTTCAGTTTTCTCTCTGGCTGAATTATTGCTTGGGTGTAAGAGTATTGCCCTCAGATGGAGAGGCAGCATGGTTCCGTGGTTAGTGCACTGGACTGGGACTTAGAAAGCTTGTATTCTATTCTAATCTCTGCCACTGACCTAGTGTATGTCCTTGGGAATGACACTTAATGTGTATGTGCCTCTCTTTCCCTTCCCAAGTCTTGTCTCTTTAGATTGTGAGCTCTTCAAGACAGGAGACTGTCTCTTTATTGTGTATATTTTTGTATGTAAGCATATATATAGGCCCAGCAGAATGGGATTTTGATCTTGGTTAGGGCTTATACATGCTATTATATATATATATATATCCGTAGATATAAATATTACACAGTGTGAAAACATTGCACTATTCATGGAGAATATTAGTCATTTTCCCAATTACACCATCAATATTTATTGAAATCTGCTAACAACTGAGAGAGCAAAATTTAATAAATCAGCATTAATCTAGTAGTTTTCACCAACATTTTTGTAGTTTCCTTTTGATCGAAGTTAACAATTTTAATTTTCAAGAGTCAAATTTTGATTTTCAAATATTAATACTGGATGCAAAGCCTAAAGTTTTCATTGTTTTGTGTGAATTTTATCCTGGGAACTGTATTTCCATTTCTGAAAACAAATACCCCTTTTAATGAAGAAAAAAATCAACATATGGGCAACAATCAAAACTGTTACTTGCTTCGTTGTTGAAACTCACCCTTTTTTGCACAGGAATGCCAGCAGTCTTACAAGAAAAACCCTATTTACTGCAAAATTACAGTAGTTTTCCACCTTCAAAATTTATTTCAAACTCTGTAAAAATGTTAAGCAAAAATTTAAAAAAAGTGTTTTAATGAAAATCTGTGAAACCATTAATTTCCATGGGTTTTGTCTGCAGTGAGAATCTTTTCTACTGTAATTTCAAGCTCCAGTTTTCTTATAATGTCATTTTTAAGGATTCACAGACAATAAAAGGAACAAATGTGTTCTGTTTACTCTTATTTTCTGATTT